CTTTGGACTAATCTTTCCCTTGTATCTTGTTTTCTTCCTTCTCCCTTGCTCCCGAAGAGGTGAGACCAATGGAGTATCTTAGATGGCTGCTCACAGGCTTTAAACACTGCAGACACTACTCACCAAGGTAGAATGTAGAACATTTTCTTTATAAACTGTTATGCCAATTGAGCTAGATGTTCCCTGAGACCATGGTCCCCAGAGCCCTCAGCCCAGCAATTTGCTCCCTCATGCAGTTGGGATGTGTCTATGGAGCTTCCATGACCTTGCCTTGTACAAGTTGTGCTGCCTTCCCCAGTATTGTGTACTGTCTTACCCTTCACCAAAGTTACCACTTATCTATTGTCTGTTTAGTGTTTCCACCCCCACTCCCCACATTCGTAGCTTTAATTATGTGTGAGTGGCCCCAAAGTTCTATCACATGTAATTTTGCTCAGGCATGATCCTGAATAATACGTGTTGCAAGGCTGGTATGTGGGGAGTGAATCGGTTACTTGGGATAAAGTGAGCCTGGCTGGCTGCCCAGCATCCGCATCTGAATTTGACTTTGACATCATCTACAAATTGCTATGGACTCAAACTGGTAAAATGATAAAGACATTTCTTCTTAGCGAAAATGGCCGTGGTGTGGGGGGGGAATCCAGATACTAGAGTTGACAACAGAAGTGAAGAGGTCTAAGAAAGCAAAGCTTCTTGGCCAGAAAATATCTATTTTAGATAAATTAATGAGTTGGATGGAATCAATGATATGAAAGAGTTCCCCATACATACAGCTATAAGGCAAAAGTGACTCATGAGAGTACGTAAGTGAGTGGGCCAGGCAACGTGAACACTGACATGTGTGGAAGAAAGGATATGCTGGAAGGGGGAGAGACAGAGCTTCAATAAATCTCATCATAAACATGAATTACCAACAAAAACTTAAATACAGTATTCTTTGTTGAAGAGGTAGTAAGATACAGCATACATTTCTCAAAGACTCCCACCAAAGTGATTAAAAGAAAACAACTTTGAAGTTCAAGAAATAAGTTTTATCTAGAAAACTCACTTTTGTGGAAAAGCCCATTCCATAACAAAAGATATTTCATGAAAAATCCATATTCATGAAAAATCTAGCTAAACAACAAAGTGATGATTATCAGCTTTTTGAAGAGATTTTTCATTTTGTCAAAAGATCAGAAACTGGTAAAATGACAGACATTCCTTCTTAGTAAAAATTAGTATTTATAGTAAGCTCCTTTAGTAATTTTAGAACAAGAGTTCTATTTGCAAAAATTCAATTTGCACATAGCTTTTCCAGAATACACTCACTGCCCTGGGGTCTACTAGTAGAGAGAGTGAGGACAGAGAGCAAGTGAGCAGCAAGGAAGCACAGAGATAAAAGGACTCTTCAGGAGAAAGAAGCAAACTGACAGCAGCTGTTTGTATCTTACAGGTCCCACCCCTACTTGGTCACCAAGGGATATCAGGAGCACCTCTGGGCATTAATAAACTTGTGATTACTAAATCACAGTCTTAAATCTGGTATTTACGAAGCATAACGTGGTCCTGTACCTGACGTTCAGACATCTCTACTATTCCATGTATACTAAAGTTTCTTTTAGAAAAACCCACACATTCTCACACAACTTTTGTCACATGTAAACTGGATTAATTTTACATTTTTTTCTTCTACTCTGAAGCTTACCTATTAAGCTAGTTGCCAACTTATGGACTATATCCTCAGAATAATATGCAAGTCAGCTGCTGCCCAGACCTTGGCCTATATTTTCCCAGACATAACCACTGTATGTGATGAAGCCATCAGGAAAAGAACACTTGAAGTCCTAACCCAGGCCCCAGAAGCACATCTCCCGGTGTCCCACCTGCAGGGACTTCCTTAGCTCCTAGCCCTGCCTATGCTTAGAGGGGCCGCCTCCAATCATTTGTTTATCTCAATTTCACTTTCTTCCCAATATAAAAGAAAAGCCTCTAAAGTATAGATAGAGAAAAGCTGAAGTAAACTTTAGTATACACTAATAGTTCTTAGTCCTTGTATTTACAATTCTTTCCCCTGCTGGGTCATCAGATTTTAACAAAGAGAACCAACTGCTCAGAATTCCCTCTCCACCCTGGCCTGTGCTCTGCTGGGACAGGTGCCAGCATGGTCTGAAATGACCAGAAGGAAGTCAGACAGCAGGACAGATCAAAAACCAGCATGTTCCATAAGCTGGATCACCCAAAGACTTCCACAGGAAGGCTTCCTGTCGCTTCTGGCTGAATACACAGGAAAGGGCAGTACTTGCCTTATCTCTACTATAGGCCTCTGAGGCTTGAATGCCACACCCCCCAAAACCTGTCCTACAACTGCCCCATAATAGGTATCAGTATACACTAGCTGGATTGAATGTATCACTCATAGTGTGATAATAATAAAATTGAGGTTATTTTTTTCAAAGAACATACACTGAGAAACTATCTTAACCATCCTACAAAGGGAGCGATTCCTCCTCTCCCATAATCACCGATTTAAAAGGCACGGGTGGTGACAACTCTAGCATTGTTTAGGATTTACCTTTGTTCTGAAAGAGCATCTGCAGGAAATAACTGATGTGCGAGAGCAAGGTCCACAGTCTCCTTCATGGCAAAGCTTTTCACAGGTATGAATGAAATCTTTAATAAAAATGAAAAGAGCTAGGAATGAAAATTCCAACTACTCATTTTCAGACTCCCAAGTTCACTAAGCCACACTAGTCTTTTACCTCTACTCCCTCTCAGCTCCAGAATCAGAGGAGAGAAGGATGTAGTCAATGGCTCTTCCCCTATCTTCTCTTCATCCAGTAGGCTGGGACTTTCCTGACAAGGGCAGGGCCCGACGTAAGTCACTGGGATGTGCTATAGAGTGCATGGTGCTTTGCCTAAACCAAAGAACTTATCTTCTGACCTCTTTTTTTAACCATATTATTTAGTCCCCAAG